CTTCTGGCCAACAGATGCTTCACCACAAGTGATAACGGATTCGAGAGATTGCCGTAGAGTTCCCACAAATCGGCGATTGTCTGAACGCCGACCACACATATAACAAAAAGACCGACGAATTTGACACTAATTTCAAGAATTGATTAATAATTAATTTCTAAAATATAATTTTAAAAATGATGGCAAACCTTATGGCACAGGAGAGGAATACTCCCGTCCACGACAACCAAAACCACCACATTTTGCCGAATGGCTGACCACTCAATGAGCCAAACATAACGCTTCCCAAAACGGAACTGATTATAAAAAACATGAGAATCGGATCCAGAAGTATGTACTGCGAGAGTGTTATCATTCCGACGTCTATACGAATCCGCAAAACAAATGACAATTAAGAACCGCAGAAAATGAAGTGAAAATAATCACTAAAATTAATACCAAAAATAATGAAAAGCGATGCCATTGTGGAGGAAGTGATGGATTGCGAGAGTTTCCAAACGATCACAAAACACATGGGAATTATGAGAGCGCCTAAAGTGACACAAAACAATCGCATCCCGACATACGGCTGATCCATGTATTTGTCTCCGGGTTTGTTGAACGCAAACGTACCGTTATATCCGGTCAGATGTCCCGCCAAACCGATCAGCATCTGATCCAATGGATCAACCAATCAATCGTTACTCGCGTCACATAAATGGCAACACAAAGACGGAGTCAAACCTTTCCGAGCGGCGGATGAACGTCGAAGAAGAAGGTGTGGTTGATATACCAACTGCCCATCTTTCCGAAGTGGGTCTCATCCCAACTGATCCCAACAATGAGAATCAATACAATTATCATTAATTCAATAATCAATACATTCGTGTCATTCATCACTCATACCAGACGTGATTCGGTTCCGATATCTTGTAGAGTCGGGTCCCGAACGAGAGGGCGGTTATGGAGACAAAGGCTAACCACCACCACATGTGTCGCTCATCATCGGTGGTGTCGTTGCCATCGATTGAACGCCTTTTGCTGACACTTCCCGTACTTTTAGTCTTTATCTTGGGTTTGCTTTTGGTGTCCGTCGAAGACATGTTCGGCACATCTGTGGCCACCAAACGGACGGCGAGGGTTGCGATTGTCTCGTAGTGGTCACGCGTGAAGACACGGCACCAAAAACAATGTCTCAATCAATGACATCACTATTACTTACTATTGACTCGTGTGTTAAAAAACTTGAAAAACTTGTCAACAAATCCAAAGACCGGTTTGTGTTCACACAAGTGACGACATCTTTAGCGCGTCTCAAGAGATATTCATTTCGGTCACCCCTTCAACACATTCGCATACTTTTGCCATTACTTTAACACAACTTTAAGACATTTAATCCAATTATCAACTAATTTATACATAAATTAATCCCAATTTAAACCCAAATAGACATAAAACACACGAAATACTAATTAAAGTTTAATTTATTGATATTATATTCTTGTGGTCACAAAAATCTACAATTTATTCATTAAAACTATGATATAATCAAAAAACCAAATCTAAAGACAATTTCCAAACAAATGTCAATTCAAATATACATTAGAGCGGATCCGAAGACACTCTTCTCATTAAAACACTATAACAATTGAGCGAACGCTACGGCCGGCGGTGCCTAAGAGTCGGTGACCTCGCGTTTGGCCTTCTGTTCGCGCCGATAGTCGCGTTGTCTGAGTCTCTTCTCGCGCTCCCACTCCTTCATGCGGAGGACCTGATCCTCCCACTGGCAGTCGTGGTAGGCGTGCAACTCGTGCTGACACCGCAACACGAAAGGCATATTGCATTTCATACAACCCCTGAACTCCATCAGCCGATGGGCGCAATAGTCACGCTTCGGCGGATCCAGTTTTGCCGAATCCATCTCCTCTTCGGTCGCCGCCATCACTGCAAACACAAGACAATCACAACCATTACATCACTCGTCAATCACAACACATTTGGACAATCTATGAGTGCCTCAGATCTGCCCCATTGGACGCACGGATCAGATGTCTATTGAATGGTCAGAGACAGAGAGATCCTCTGGACACCAATGGAGGCCATTATCATCGGAAACAAAGACAATACAAACCTCTGGGTTTGCGGCCATTGGGGAAGCCGTAGAGCGGATCATAGGGTGACTCTTCGCGATCAGACGGATACTCGTGAAGAGGCAGTCGTTTGAGTGGAAGCGATAAGTGCTGCAAATCGAAGTGATCTTTGGTGAAGACACCGCCCATTCTTCCACTTCTTGTGTCCAAACAATATTAAACTAAAGGTTGGATTCAATCGACTGTTTGTTTACTCTTTTCACGCATTCAATGGGAAAATGCATTCAATTTAAGGGATTGTCTCATAATTACGGAAACACTTCTCTTATGTGTAATTCAATGCAAACTTTTTCTTATCAATCATTTTTGCAATGAGTTTATGATTTGATTGAAAATATAGAGAATCGACTGAAATGACGATAAATTATGTTTAAAATGTATAGCCATCGGCGGTAAGACATCCATATGTGACAAAACACTCGTACGAACTCATCAATGATGGTAATTATAGGCTGAATAAGACATCAAGAGATGGGGACTTATGGTCTGCAGAGCGCAACCAAAAGCACAGCCAATGAATCGATTGACACAATCGCCAAACCAAGAGAAAGGATGCGATGAACCGGTGCTCTGAGGGTTGGGATGTGCTGTACATCACGAGCACACCATTCAGACCATCAGATTTATTCATTAGCCTCTCTATTCATAGCACAACTCCACTCTCTATAAGAGTTTGTGTGGAAAAGTTTGAGCGCTAATCGTCTGAAAGCTAAGCTTTGCTAACAGAATATTCTGTGATTGAAATGCATATCAGAATAAATAGA